AGGAAAAAAAAAAAAAAAAAAAAAAGATACCAGCCAGTCTTTGCCCAAGTTTAGGGAAACAGACCTCTTCTACAGTCTGGCAGTAACCACCTTTCCAGGAGTTTAGTTCAGAGGAAAATGTGCAGGATAAATGGATAATCCAGAATAACCTATGCACATAGATGATGTGACTCTATTCAACAACATATATGACGACACAGCTCTCATTTACTAAGGTGAATATGTCAGCATTTTTTGACAAACATGACTCTAAATGATTTCTGAGTAGTAAGACTATGGATCAGCCTATTTTAACTTTATTTTTCAGTAGTTTCTGAATTTGTTTTTAATCTCAGCAGTTATTACTTATAAACATAAAACATAAATCCCAACTCATAAAGAAAGATAAAAATGATTTGTTCCCACATCCCTTGCAAGCTTTTACTATGTCTCTCCCCACTTTCATGTCCTAATTCCTTATAAGAAAAGTCTATGTTTATTTTCTCCATTTTTCTTCATCTCCCAAAACTTTACTGAACCCTTTTGGTTTTTTTTAAACTATAAGACACGCTAGGATATCCAGTTCAAAAAGGGTATTTGAAGATGATAAGCTGATCTAAAATGTCTGCTGAAAGTAATCTGGAATTTCGAAGAAAAAAAAAATTCTACCGGGACCACAATGAACTTACCACAAATGTGAGCTGATAAAACCTCAATATCACCAAATTGCTTTGTGTGTGTGTGTGCATGTGTGTGTGTGTGCGCGTGTAGTATTAGCCGTAGGACACGTGCACTCACCAGAGGTGGGAATGGGGAGAGGAAGCAAGAAACCACCCCTCCAGGGGTACAGGGAGGAATCACTACACCACAACGCTTCTCTTTCATTTTCTTCTCTGGACTTTGGGGTACACACCCACACACACCGGGTGTGTTTTTCTTTTTTCGGAGAGATTTTTGCCATAGGGCGCGTGTGCTCACCAGACAGACAGAGAGAGACAGAGACTGAAAGCGAGAAATCACCCCCCAAAAGGGGATGGCCATGCCACAATCCCTTCTCCTCCATTCTCCTCTGGGGATCTTGGGCACACACGCATACATGCCCAGCATGAGTTTTAAGCCATTGGGTCCGGGACTCAAACCGCAGTCGACGACATGGGAGTCCAGCGACATAGTCATTACGCTAACTACTGGTCCCCCTGATATGTTTTTCAAGTCACCAGGTCTGGGACTCAAATCCCAGAGTTGGCCATGTGGGATCCAGTGCTTTAACCACACCACCTACTGGCCCACCCCCAAGATGCTTTTTACACTGTAAGTGTGGACAGAGGTATGCACGACCTGCAGATTTTACTTCTGTTTGGGTACATGTATCTAACAAATTTTTCTGCCTCTTGATAAAAATTACTGATTTAACAAATGTTACAGGTCCTATACCCTGTACTGGGCAACGTTCTTGGCACTGGGGATATTTAGCAGTGAGCAAAAGAAAAAACTGCCCCCCCCCCCATGAGCTTACCATTCTGGGCAGAGTGCCATCTGGGCACAAGACCTAAAGGCAGCGAGGAGCAAACCATGCAAATTACTTGGGAAAGAAAACCACACAAGCTCTGGAGATGGAGCTTACCTGGCATTCAGACACATCAGGAGTGAAGTGAAGCGGGAGTAAGAGAAGATGATGGGATAAAAAAGGGGACCTGATTACACAGGGGACACTGCCCCCCCCAACTTTTCCGAGTAAGAAGGACATAAGTGAGGCCATGAAGGTCAGTGACCCATGAAAGTAAAACTGAGCCAAAGAAGAAATCAGGATGGTTCTAAGAGTGGTTTTTTATTCCAAACTGCAAATGAAGTTAGGTAAACCAAGCAAATGAAGATTCTCACCTTCTTACAGGTTGTGCAATTTTGCTTCGAGGCAGGTTACTCCCATTTATTGCCAGGGAAGGTCTTGGAAGTGCACTGCGCCCCATCATCCCAGAAGCTGCTGCTTTGTTTGGGGTGGGGATTCCCGTGCTGGAATATAACTGTAAGCCGTTGGATAAAGGCATGTTACTGCTGCCTTGAACGGTCGGACTCACATAGGCTGTGGCTTTAAGAGGCTGTCGGACAGACACTGGGAAATGGCCCACGCTGTGGACTCTGTGCTGAAGCTGTCCAGGAGACGGAACTGGAAGAGACAACAATATGAATGGGAGGAAACCTACCACAATGCAACTTAGCACGGTGTGCTATATTCAGAAGAGCCTGTACTGAGTACAACATACATAGGAGATACAGGAAATCAGGTCCTGGACAGCATTTCCTAGCAGAAAATGCTAATCCTTGGCTCGAGTCTCCATTTCTGTCTCTCAGTCACATTCTGGAGTGCCTAACTATATTCAGAAGTCAGTTCCAAACATAATCTCCTTTCCTCTAGCACATTTGCTAATCTAAGGTCTTATAAGATAAATTCATTCTCACATGCTTGGAGGACATTAGAATTTCTGGACAGTTGCTGTGGGGATTTATGAAAATAAAACAAGGGGACAATTTAATAGTTATAGTTATAGGATACCCTGAGAGGCTCTCCCATCCTCTCCCTATCAACAATATGTCTCTGCAAATATAACTATTATTCCCACTTTTATCATTACAGACTGGTTGTTTCTATTTTGAACTTCATATAAGTGTAGTCAGATAGCAAGCTCCCTTGTACGTCTGGCTTCTTTCATTCGGCATTATGTCTATGAGATTCATTCAGGTGACTGTATTACTCTGTATTGGCTCATCGGAAAAGTCATTATGCATTTTGCACAGAAAAACATAGAACAGTACGTCATAACATTTACAATAATCCAATAGTACTCCACTGCATGCATGAATACTGCCATCTATCTAGTTTCCTGATTATGAAAGGCTGGGTTATTTCCAGCTTGGAGTTTTATGAACATTCTTGTTTTAGGGGGTCATATGTACTTGTTATGCTGGGTATATACAAAATTATGGAAACATTTAGATAAATGAATTTAGCAAAGCTACTGGGTATAATAAAACACAAAAATAAACTGTATTCTAAATACCAGCAAACTAGTGGAAACTAAAATACAAAAAAATAGCATTTATAAAAACAAACTCGAGCATAAATTATATATGTGTGTATAATACATACTATACATACATATTGTATACATATATGTATTATATATGTGTATGTATGTGTGTATATGTATGTGCATATATATGTATATATGTGTGTATATATATGTATACATAGAGAGAGAGAGAGAGAGAGAGAGAGAGAGAATCTGGCAGTGGCTCTCAATCTTGCTAGAGGAGACAAGCACCATGGAGGCTGTTTAAGGGCCACACCCTGGAAAAGGCAGAAGACTAGAGGACTTGGAATTTTCTTCTACATGGCCCTTCCTAAATCTCCTACTGGTTTGACCCTGACTCAGCCATAACCAGACTAACATCCATATATATATATATATATTTGTTTTTGATAGAGGTTTTTGCCTTAGAGTGTACCTTAGGGTGCATGCACTGACTGGAAAGAGAGACAGGGAAAGTTAGAAACCACCCACACACACACACAGGGGCGATGGCCGTGCTACAATCTATTCTCCTCCATAGTCCTCCTGAGATCTTGAGCACACACACACACACTCAGTATGAGTTTCAAGTCACCAGGTCTGGGATGCAAATCATGGTCAGACATGTGCGAGTCCAGCAACATAACTGCTACACCATCTGCTGGCCTCCACAAATAAATTTAACTATAGATACATAAAAATGCTATATAAAAAGCTACAAAACAAATCAGTGAAAGACTATCTATTCTACATTAAATAAGGCCTAAATCAATGACTATTCTACCTTAACGTATTAGAAGACTTAAAATTAAGATTCTCTCAAACTTGATTTAGTTTCAATGAAATTCTAATCAAAATCATATAAATTGAAATTACAACATAGTTATGCAGGAATAGAGCCCTATTTCCTTCTCCACAAAGAGATAATTGCCCTTTGTTTTAAAAATAAAACAAAAACAGGGGGACCAGTGGGTGGTGTAGTGGTTAAGGCACTGGACACTCCCACATGGCCTACCATAGTTCAAGTCTCAGACCTGGTAGCTTGCTTTCTCATTTTCTCTCTCTCTTTTCCTGTCTCTCTCTGGTCAAATTAAAAATAAATGAATGAATAAAGTTAAATAAATAATTCTTTAAAACAACAAAAACTAGCCCAGGTGCTGTGGTGCAGTAGTATGATGCTCTAAGTTAACCTGTAACACGCCAGGTAGCAATGCACCCAACATCCTTACAAGCTTGACATCTGAGGGAAGGGGACCATGGAGTGACAAGAATGATCCTGTTAAGGGTGATCATGTGTGTGTGTCTCTTTTCTCATGAAAGAAATTAAAAAATAAAGAATTTTAAAAATATAACAAATAAGAGAAACTAGCTAAAATTAATAGACATAATTTTAGAAATATGAAAATAAGGGAGACCAAACAAGATGCTGGAGTAGGGTCTTCCAGAGACTGTCTTCCTACAGAGACTTTAATTTGATTTGTCCACCTACTCAAAATTACCTCAAGAGCTAACTAAAGAAACCTGAAATATGGAGCGAAGTTGTGAAACACTTGTAGACATCATTGGTTCTCTGACACCATGACACACTTTTCCCCAAACTAAGACAGTGTTAATCTTCCTAGACTCACTGGAAAAAGTGGCCTGAAAGTGGACATTCCGTTTCTATACTGTCTTAGGTGTTTTTTGTTTGTTTGTGAGAGAGTCTCACTCCTTCATAGGCTCAGAGGAAAGCTCCACAACTACCAGAGAAACTAAAAAACCTAAAAACCTAAGGACACCTAAAGACAGAGGGATGGGACTAATGGCAAGCAGCATGAGAATCTGGCAGTGGCTCTGAGTCTTGCTAGAGGAGACAAGAACTATGGAGGCTGTTAAAGGGTCACACCCTGGAAAAGGCAGAAGACTAGAGGACCTGGAATTTTCTTCTACATGGCCCTTTTTAAATCTCCCACTGGCCAGCCAGGTTTGACCCTGACTCAGCCATAACAGACTAACATCCAACCTGGGCTTAGGGAGCCACCTAGTGCTGAAATGGAAGATTACAGCCAAGTAGCTCAAACTCTTAAACCCACCACAATAAATAAAAGTCAAAAATACAGACTACAAAAACTAAATAAATACCTAATTTCTTCATCTGTCGATGTGTAGACAGAGATGCATATATACAAAGATGATAACAGTCCACAAATGAAGAACTTTCCAAATGGACGAAAGAAAATGACAAAGACTGAGTCTAAAGACATACAGATGAATAATCTCATGGACAAAGAAGTAAAATCAATTGTATTAAGAAAATTCAGAGAACTTCAAGAAAATACTAGAAATAACTCATAATCTTGTCAAAAAATTTCAAGAGACCAAAATTTTTAAAAACCAAACTCTAGAGCTAAAAAGTACAATAATTTAAAAACTGCACTGGAAGGTATCAATAACACAATTAATTACAAAAAGACAATCAGTGAATTTGAAGACAGGATATTTGAAAATGCACAGAGGAAAACAAAGAATGAGAAGGAATGAAGAAAATTTAAGGAACCTTTGGGATATCATAAAAACAGCAAATCTACATGTCACTGGAGGAATTATAGAGGAAGTTAAGAATGAAAAAGTGGTAGAAAGTTATTCTAAGAAATAACAGGGGCTGGCAGGCAGCGTGGTAGTTAAGGGCGCTGGATTCCCACATGACCAAACCATGGTTTGAGGCTCAGACCTGGTTGCTTGCTTTCTCACTCTCCTTCTCTGTCTCTCACTCTGTCCCTCTCTGGTCAAATATAAATAAGTAAATAAATAAAATCAAGTAAAATAATTCTTTAAATCTGAAGAAAGACTCAAGTATCCAAATATGGGAAGATCAAAGATTACTAATCAGATTCAACACAAATAAGTCAACTTCAGGACATACTGTAATTTAACTATCAAAGGTCAAAGACGATAGGATGATACTAAAAGTAGCAAGAAAAATAAATAACATATAAGAGAATCCGATTTATTTAGCAGCAAACTTCTCTGTACCAAGCTTACAGGCAAGGAAGGAGTGAGATGACATTCAAAACATTAGAGGAAGAATACTTGCAAAGAATAAATACTGTAATGTTATCCTTCAAAAATGTAGAAAAACATACCCAGACTAACAAAAGCTGAAGCAATTTATTATATCCAGACCTCTCTTACATAACAAATGCTAAAGAGAATTCTCCAACCAGAAAGTAAATGATGCTGATACATAACACAAAAACCTCTGAACATACACAACTCATGGGTGAAGGTAAGTATTCAGACCAATTTAGAATACCTTAACATAGAAAACAAATGCAAAAGATCAAAGAAATAAAAAGTTTGTTTTTTTAAAGAAAAGCAAAATTGACAAACTTTTAGTCTAAGAGAGAGAAAACTCAAATAAAATCAAAAATTAAAAAAGAGACATCACAGTGATGCCACAGAAGTAAAAAAGATCACTAGAGACTATTATGAACAACTATATGCCAAGAACATGGAAAATCTAGATAAGTTCTTAGACAAATAAGTACAATTTAACAAGCTTGAATAGATCAATAAGATCCAATCAGTAACATAATGTTCCCAACAAGTGGCTCGGGAGTGGATGGCTTCACTGCGGAATTCTAAAAATCTTTTCAGCAAGAACTAACCAATTTTCCTCAAATTATTCAAGAAAGTTGAAGAGGATGAAATTCTTCCAAATGTATCTTACGAGGCCAATATTACCTTGACATTACAACTAGACAAAGAAACAACAAAAAGAAAACTACAGACCAATATTGCTGATGAACACTGATGCAAAAATCCTCAACAAAATATTAGTAAACCAAATCCAACAGCCCATCAAAAAAGATTATAGAGCATGATAACATAGGATTTATCCTAGGAATGCAAGGACAGTTCGACATATGCAAATTAATAAACATGATACATCAACAGGATCAGAGGTATCATATTATTATCTCCTTAAGTGCAAAAAAAGCATATGATAAAATCCAACATCACTTTGTGATTAAAAGGTCTCGGCAACCTAGGTATAGAAGGAACGTAGCCTAACACAATAAAGGCCATATATGACAAACCCACAATTAACATCATA